GGGGCAAGGGCTCTACCACTGAGCTATCCCTTCATATTTCTCTTTGACCAATTTGTTATAAGTAGGGTGTTTAATCTCTAAATAGTAGGGGATTCTCCAGCTATCTTTCTGTTATTGATGGCTAGCTTAATTCCACTATGGTCTAAGTACATATATTGCATTATTTCCTTTTTTTAAAAGATGTTAAGGTATATTTTGTGGCTTAATATGTAGTCTCTCAGAAAAACTTCCATGTGGGCTAGAAAATATGTAATTTGCTGCTGTTGGATGAAGTAATCTATAGATGTCAATTATATCTAGTTGATTGATGGGATTGTTGAGTTCAACAATGTTCTTACTGATTTTCTGCTTCCTAGAACTGTCCATTTTTGACAGAAGGGTGTTAGGAGGTTAATCTATTTCTCCTAGAAGTTCTATCAGTGGTTGCCTCACATATTCGATGTTCTGTTTGTTAGCCTCTTACACATTAAGAGTTGTTACATCTTCTTGGAGTACTGACCCCTTTAGCATTATGTAATGCCTCTCTTTATCCATTAATTTCCTTGTTCTGAAGTCTTCTCTGTCTGAAATTAATATAGATATTTCAATTCTCTTTTAATTAAAAGTGTTCGAATGATATACCTTTCTCTCTTTACTTTGGATCTACATATTTCCTTATATTCGAAGTGGTTTTGTTATGAGTCATATACTTGGTTATTATTTTTGATCCACTCTGACAATCTATCTTTTATTGGTGTGTTTAGAGCAATGACATTTAAAGTGATTACTGGTATGTATATTTGGATAAACATCTACCATGTTTGCAGCTGTTTTCTTTTGGTCACCCTTGTTCTTTGTTACTATTTTGTTTTCTACACTTTTTCTGCCTTTTCTGGTTTTAATTGAAGGATACTACATTATTCTATTTTCTCTTTTTCTTAGCATATCAATTTTACTTTTTTTATGTAATTTTTAGTAGTTTCCCTAAAATTTTGCACTGTACATTTACAAGTAATCCAAAGCCACTTTCAAATAACTCTACACCATTTCATGGGTAGTACAAGTTCCTTACAATTACAAAATATTCCTAATACTTTTCTTCCATCCTTTGTATTATTGCTTTCATTCATTTCACATATACATAAGTGTATATAGTTGAACACATTTTTTTGCTACTGTTATTCTGAACAGTTATATGCTTAATCACTTGAATAAGAAAAATAAAAGGTTTTATTTTACCTTCACTTACTCATTTATATGTTCTTCCTTTCTTTATGCAGATCTAAATTTATGACATATCATTTTTCTCTTTTCTGGAAAACTTCTTTTAGCATTTCTTGCAAGGCAGATTAATAGCAACAAATTGCTTTTAGTTTTTACTTTTCTGAGAAAACATTTCTTTTTATTTCACTCTTGGAGAACAATTTTATAAGGTACAGAATTCTAATTTGCTAGAGTTTATTCTCTTAATCTTTAAATACTTCACTCCAGTTTTCTTGTTTGCTGAAAAGCCAGATATAATATTTATATTTACTTTTCTATAGGTAAGGTGCTGTTTTCCTCTGACTTCTTTTGAGATTTTTTCTTTATTTTGATTTTCTAAAATCTAAGTGTGATATGCATAGGTGTAGTTTGGGGGGGGCATTTATCCTACTTGGTGTTGACTGAGCTTCCTCAATATGTAGTTTGGCATGTGACATTAATTTAAGAAAATTCCCAGCCATTATTGCTTTAAGTATTGCTTCTTTCTTTCTTCTCCTGGTTTTCCCATTATACATGATTACTGCTGCTGTGGGTGTCCCCTACTTCCTGGATATTCTGTTATTTTTCCTTTAGTCTTTTTTTCTCTCTGATTTTGTTATGGTATGCATATTTATGTTCCCCCAAAATTCACATGCTGACACCTAATCACCATTGTGACAATATTGGGGGAAGTGAGGCTTTGGGGAAATGTGGTGCATTCATAAATAGGATTAGTCCCCTTTATAGAAGAGACTCCAGAGAGCTGCCCTTGCCCCTTTATGATGCAAGGATACTGCTAGATGGCACCATCTATGAATCAGGAATTGGACATTCAGCAGACACTGAAAACTACTAGTACTTTGATCTTGTACTTTCCAGTTTACAGAACTATAAGAAGTAAATTTGTTGTTTTATAAGCCACCCAGTTTATGATATTTTTCTAGAACCCAAATGGACAAAGACAGGTTTTTAGTCTTGGAGAAGTTTTTAATTATCATATCCTGAAGCTCAGAGATTCTTTCCTCAGCCATATTCAATCTACTATTGACCTAACAAAGGCATTCTTCATTCCTATTACAGTTTTGGATCTCTAATATTTTTTATATTCTTTCTTAGAATTTCCAACTCTCTGCTTGTACTATTCACGTTTTCTTGCATGCTATCTACTTTTTCCAATAAAGCCCTTTGCATATTCACCATAGGGTTTTTTCCTCTTTCTACGTTTTTCTATTTTGGTACATTACAGTTGTACATAATGGTGGGATTTGTTATTGCATATTTATACATGCATACGTGTAACAATATAATTTGGCCAATATGACTCCCCAGTACTTCCCACCCCCTCCATCTTCCATATCCTGGCCCCTTTCCTCTACTGATCCTTTAACCATAGGGTTTTTTTAATTATTAAATTGCCAGACTGATAACACCAGCTCCTTTTCTATATCTGAGTCTGTACTGATATTTCTCTGTATCCTCAAATATATTTTTTCCATTTAGTATGTCTTTTAATCTTTTGTTAAATCCAGACATGATATTCTGAGTGTAAGGAACTCCAGCATATAGGCCTTCATTTGTGTGGGAGGAGGAGAAATATTCTCCAGTTCTATGATCAAGTCTCCATTTTTTGGTGAGTCTGTATCCCCAGACTATGGACTTCATCAGTTTTATTTCCCTGATCTGTTGGTGGGCAGAATGGCTGGAAGGAACTGGAGTTGAGTATTTCCCTTCCACCAGGTTTGTTAGGCTCTTTTAAAACCCCAGCAGGTTAGGCTCTGGTAAAAATAGTTTTGTGTAAGAGCAAGTTATGTAAATAAGAACAGAATGTTCTGGCATTTCAAAATTCAAAATGGTTCTTTTCCTTTCCCTTGCCAGAAGCAAAAGGAGATTTTTTTTTCTCTGACACTCACTGTGAAAACTGGTAGTGTTCCTGAAGGTAAAGCTTTCAAAAAAAGTATCCCCCAACCCCTCAAGAGTTTTTAACTCACAGACTGTCCACACTGAGCCACCAACAATTTGTCAATTACAGTTTGTTTTGCTAAGTTGACAATGATTCCCATGGAGGTTTCTGCTCATGAGTTTCCGGTTCTATAAGTCATGATTCACTAGGTCCGCCTGTCTGTAACTCCAATTTGGGGACCAGCAGTTTGCCCTTTGACCTCACTCCCCTGAAGGATATAAGAAGAGCTATTGATTTTTCAGTTCATTCAGCTGTTTATTTCCTGTTAAGACAAAGTGGAAATTTTTAAGCTTCTCACATGGTAGACCAGAAACTAGAAATCTTAATGTCTTAGTTTATACATTTACTTTTCTTCTGTAAGACTAGTCAATGCTGCATTCTTTAAAAACATCTTTCAGCAAAATTATTGTGTAGGCAGTTGTCAGTTTGAGGCAATTAGTCCTATACTTTCTTATTACTAGGCTCTTATAACTTGCTGTATTTCAAATAAAAGTACCTTTTATTTGCATTTCAAATAAAAGTACCAAGTAAGATAATAAAAGTATCTTACTTGGGAATATATTTTAGTTATATTTGGGGGTGGAGAATATGAAGTATGATGAGGACTCTTGTGTGTTAGAATTCTGGCTCACTTATAAAAATGGGTCTGTATGGATTTTGTGTCCATCTCTGTAGTCCTGGCCAATTTAGACCTAAACTCCTCCTCCTCAAGAGGCTTTTTAAATAAATGTTTTTATCAGTACATTATAGTTATATATAATGGTGGGCTTCACTTTGACATAATCATATATGCATGTAATATAATTTGCTCACTGTAGTCCATATTTCTTCTTTCACTCCCTTTCCTCCTCCCCCTCCTGTTCTTCTTTCTCTATTCTACTGGTCTTCTTTTTACTCATTTATATTTTTTTTAATGGTTCTTATAGATATGCATGAAAGTTAAATTCACTGTGGGGCTGTGGTTGTGGCTCAGTGGTAGAACACTTGCCTAGCATGCATGAGGCACTGGGTTCGATTCTCAGCACCACATACAAATAAATAAACTAAAAGTCCATCAACAACTAAAAAAAATATTTTTTAAAAAAGTTAAATTCACTGTGGTATATTTGTATATGTATGTAGCATAATTTGGTCAATTTTATTCTATCATCCCTCCTTTTTCCCATCTGTCCTCCTTCTCCCTCTATCTCCTTCCCCTACTCCACTGATCTCCCTCCTATTTTCACAAGATTCCCACCCCTCCTTTTCACCTTATTTTGATCTAACTTCCACATATGAGAAGCAACATTTGATCCTTGATGTTCTGAATCTGGCTTATCTCATTCAGCATGATAATATCCATTTCCATCCATTTTCTTACAAATGCCATAACTTCATTCCTCTTTGTGACTAAATAAAATTCCATGGTGTACATATAGCACATTTTTTTTTATCTACTTACCTGTTGATTAGTACCTGGGCTGGTTCCCTAACTTGGCTCTTGTGAATTGTGTTGCTATAAACACTGGCATGCCTGTATCATTATAGTATGCTGATTTTAGTTCTTTAGGTCTAATTTCCAGGTTTTTGATCCACATTGAGTTGACTTTTGTGTAGGGTGAGAGATAAGAGTTAAATTTCATTCTTCTGCATATGGATTTACAGTTTTCTCAGCACCATTTGTTAAAAAAACTATCTTTTCTCCAATATACATTTTTGGCACCTTTTTCTTCTATGAGATAACTTATACATATTCATTTAAAATATCAACCTTTCATGTATTCAACTAAAAACAGAAAGTAATCTGGATATGTTTTAACATTTTCCATTAATCATTTAGCCTTAGTATCACAGGCAGAGGCCCTGAAAGAAGAAAATGACAGCCTCCGTTGGCAGCTTGATGCCTATCGGAATGAGGTAGAACTGCTCAAGCAAGAACAAGGCAAAACCCACAGAGAAGATGATCCAAACAAGGAGCAACAACTGAAACTCCTGCAACAAGCCCTACAAGGAATGCAACAGGTACAGGCATATTTGTTTTCTGTGCTTTGGGGAACAATAGCATTAATTCCTCATTTGTAAAAGGGTTTCCTGCAAGTAAATGGGATATCAAACCTCTTCCTCTTGTTGATGTTGTAGTTTCTGGCATGGCTGAGGAAGGAAGTACATGTGCTGTGTGTTAATGAGATATTCTGGTTAATACAGAGATAGCAATGGATCACCAGTTTTAAAACAAGAGCATTCAGTGAGAAATGCTTAACATTAAAACTACATTAGGGAGGGGGAGCATGAGAGAAATAGATGAACTCTAGATAGGGCAGAGGGGTGGGAGGGGAAGGGAAGGGTAGGGGGTTACCAAGGATGGTGGAATGTGATGGACATTATTATCCAAATTACATGTATGAAGACACAAATTGGTGTGAATATACTTTATGTACAACCAGAGATTTGAAAAGTTGTGCTCTATATGTGTAATAAGAATTGTAGTGCATTCTGCTGTCATTTATTTTTTTAAAAATCACTTAAAAAGTTAAAACATAAAAAAAAACTACACTGAACAGAATCTGATCTGTTCTTGATGCTTCAGAAATACTTCAGGATCTAGATAGGAGGACCTCAGGATCATTATGAAGAACCTCAATTATTTAGATATGAAAAAGGGCCAATGAATTTGTATCTAGTTGATGGAATGATATATAATACATACTTTTAGAAGAAATGGCAAGGATCCTATACTTAATTTGGTTGAAAGTGGAGCCATTATGAGTTTGTAAGTATCAGTGCCATGGGTGCATAATAATAATTCATTCTATGTGATTTTATTTTGTTTTCAGTCTTTTATGTGAATGAGCTTGCCTGCACATAAATAAATAATTGCATCCAACTCCAATTGCATTCACATTCAACATTATATAGCAAGTGCTCAATATACAGAAGTTTGGTGTAACTATGACCAGAGTGAGCCTACAGTTTAAAAGATATCAACATCTGCATTTACTGTTGTAAAGAAGTAGCACTTGTGAGTAAGGGTACTCTTTCCTTCTGTTGTGCCAGACCACCAACCATTTTCCTTACAACTTAAATTGTGCAATAATTTTTTAAACTCTATGCCTCAGAATTACCTAGTGCAAAGCTAATTGCCAGTTGGAAATTACAACTGATGAACTGGGAGTCTCTTCTGGCACTAGCAGCCCTGTATTATTATCTTCTTGTATGACAAGTAATATCACATTAATATTTCACTTTTCCTATTAACAAAATCAGTGAAGTAATGCTTACCTTCCTTTTAATGTCATCGTGGAGTTTAATTGGAACACAAAATTATATCAGAGATCTTTCTAACAAAAAAATGTGTTTGCTGTGTTCGACTTCAAAGAACTTGGACAGTGTACATTGTACCCCGCATTTTTAACCCTCCCAGTGGTCTTTTGCAAGCCTTTGAAAAGTAAGACTTTGGAAACATTTTGCTGTTGTTTATTCCTTCTAATATTGATTTTGAAACCATTGAACATAAGAACAGTTTTGCCACTTAAATGCAAAATGAAAGTGATGAATTTTTTCATTTCATCCTTTCAAATACTTCAGTGAGATTTTAGGGCTCTATCTCCTAAAAAAATTAATTTCACTCACTTTGATTACTTTTTATACAGAAAATAGCCTTCTAATCAGTTATCAAATTTCTCCTAACTTGTCTCAAAAGATGTATAGTATAGTATTGTGGTTAAGAACATGGACTCTGGGGTTGATATGGCCTGTTTAAAATCTAGTTCTGCCACTTCCTATCTGAAAGGCCTTAGGGAAGACAGTTAACTTCTCTAAGCCTCAAAGATAATAGTGTCATAGGGTTATTGTGAGGCTTAAAGTAGTTCATGCAAATGAAACCCTTAGCCCAATGCTTAGCATATATTAGGACCTCAATAAATAGTATTTGTTGTAATTATTAATAATGATAAATCCAGCTATTTACCTAGAAATATAGAAATGAGCATATGTGAAATTTTGATTCTTTACTACTTTCTTCATAAAAATTGAAATTGTTTAGGCAAATGGCTATTTGCAAGTATGATTTACAACATTAAGTCCACATCTATGCAGCAATCAAGCTATTTCCCAGACAATATTAACTGTACCATACCCTTACCCCTGGCCAGAATGGAAAAGAAGTTAAGTGACTAGATCAATTAGTTTCTCAGGGCCAAGTTCAACAAAAATTCATATAAGCCAGATAAAATAACTTACAGTAAAAATATATCTTCATTTTCCAAATGTTTGAATGGAAAAAGGTTCTGTTTGCTGGAAGAATGTGAGGCCAGCCCCATCTGATATCTGAGCTCATCCAGGAATTTTAAGTGAAGTGTGGCTTTTTAATTAGAGACTTGATTGTCTTTGGTCTTTGTTGTAGCATCTCCTCAAAGTCCAAGAGGAATACAAAAGGAAAGAAGCTGAACTTGAAAAAATCAAAGATGACAAGCTACAGGTGGAGAAAATGTTGGAAAATCTTAAAGAAAAGGTAAAAGAATCCTAAATGAACCTCTTCCCTTGCCCCTTTCCACCTTTTCCTGTGACAATGAACATGCCCTGTAAGTGTTTGCAATAGAAATCAATATGGAATATTTGGCTGGTTGGGGATTAAAAGTACCTTTCCAGAATAATTCTTATATCAAAGTTCTGCTCTTAGATCTGAGTCCTTGCCATTTCTAAAGGTTCTGTATAGTATATTTTACAATGACTAAAAATTAGTCCCTCCCTCAAGTTCCTCAGTCTTCCCTTTTGGAGAAGAGCAGTGTGCACATCTCTTCTCTGCTTCTTCCTGTAAAACAAATAGCAATATGGAGAGAGTTCATATGACACAAAATACCTTTAATTGGACATTTTAGTAAAGGAAAAAACACATGTGCAACTAGAACATGGACATTTCTTTGAATAGAGTCCATCCAATATAATCATGAGCAGCTACAAGTTAAATTAATAGCCAACAGAAAAGGAAAGGAAACCTTGGAAAAGAATGAAGAGACACAGTTTCCTAAAGCTGGATAATAGCATCATGGGAGGCAAAATGAGACTTTATCAAGTGAGAGCCTGCAAGCGGTGGTAAGAATCACTACTGAGGACATCTGGATGGATTAGCGCATCACTATCATGAGTCAGGTGCCCACTCTATTCAAAGTATATAAAGTCTATTGATAGGTGTGTCCTTGTTATACCTCTCCAATGTCCTCTGTGCTTGAATATTCAGCTGAAGTTATTATCTGAAAAAGAAGGGTCATTGACCCAAACTTGCCTGATAGATTGTCTCAGAATGAAGAGAATGACTAGGAGCTGGACCAAGAATCCAAAACCAACAATGATATAATTCCTCAAGAGCTCCTGCTATTTATCTTCTCTGCTTAGCTCAGGAAGATGCAATGCGTACAGGCCCCTGGTGTGCTTACCAGCACAGTGATGTCCCCCAGAGTGCCATCAGGAACTGGCAACCTTGGTATAGTTGAAGCAAATGATTGAAAGTGTTTTCTTCTGGAGGCCATTTGCAATATGCTTTTAATTCTTCCACATCATAAAACCAACTCACTTTCCAGTTTTGTGAGTGCAATTAAAGAAATGAGCACAATCCCAGAGAAATTCATTTATCAAGCATTTAATTGAAAAGTGCCAAAGCTGTTCTACTTATCAGGACTTTCCTCATACTATCAGAGATTCTAAATTGTCCCAGAGCTTCTACATAGCTTGATTTTGCTTTCTGCTTGAACTGGAGTGTGTATCTAGGAAGCCATAGATAGAACCAAGTTTAAACTAATGACATTATGCTTAGAATCACTCCTGAGGATTGACATTTTGAGTACAAGCAGCTTTTTGCTTTGCAAAGAATGTCATTTTAAAACACAATAGGTCAGATGGCATAGAAGAAACTTGCTGGATTGTGCCAAGAATAAGTGTTTCCCCCTCAGAAACTGAATATACCCATGAAGTGGCAGCTAAAGAGGACATGGAAAGAGATTCAAGTGATAATCAAAAAACAGTGAGTCAGAATATGTTTTTCCTGTTATTTTAAGCAAAAGCTTCTTTTAAATAAATTCATGACAGTTCATTATAAACTGATCTTCTCTGGGAAGCTGATTTGTGGCCAAATATTTCAACCTGACACAATTAGGTTAGGAAGCAAAGTACCATCACATTAGACTGCAAAAGTAATTTCAGGTTGAAAGGAAAGCAATAAGTTTTGGTGAGGTGGGATCTTTTTTGTTGTTTTTGTTTGGATTTCTTGACAGTAAGCCACAATGTGAGTCATTGTCAGTGTTTTGCGATATAACAATGAGACTTATGTCTATAGAATTAGCACTTTGAATCTGCTGATAAAATTCAAGGTAATAAGCATTTCCTTCAATATACCTTTAATTATTTTAAACACCAGCTATAATAAATTGAAATTGGGCTTCAGTAAGGCCATGGTTCTATTCAAAATGGCTAAAACTTCTCAGGAAATCTCAATATCTTAAATCAACCTCCATTCATTAAATTCTTACACTTAAGAAATGGCTTACTGGATCATTTAATGTTTTAAAGGGGTTAGAAATAGATGTGAAGCCTGTGGCTTAAAAGTGAACCAGGGGTGTAAATCAAACTTGGCATAATTGTTACCTCTTGGATTGGATTCTAAAGGCCAAAGATTAAATAGGGCATCAAGAAAGAGTTCCCCTCTGACTGTGGCCAGGAAGCCTGTAAATCCACAAAACAACATGTCTTGCAATAGACCATTCATTTCATTCAGAGACAGCATCCAGGAAGCTTTGAAGACATCTTTAAAGAAAACAGAGGAATCTTGTTCCTGCTGAGGGCTTGTGGAAGGGAGGAAGTGACAAAGCATCTGAGTCGGCCATCATTTGCCCCCCAAGGAGCAGTTCCCCGGCATTTTCTTTTACAACAGTAAAAGACTGAAGCAGTGACACTGAAACAATTTCTTTTATTCCTTCTTCTCAAGTCTTTTCCTTCACATACGTACTACAGAAAAGTTGTTCTCAGTACCCAAGGAAAGAAAGATCCATGAACGGTCTGAAGCCATGGATTTCAACTAAAGTGTATCTCATATAGCCTACCTACTATACTCAGAGACAGAACAATTTTTCAACAAAGAAGATCACTGACTGTATTTTTGGTTATTGCTATTTCTTACTGTCAAGTTAGGAATATTCTAGATGATAATGTCTTTATCACAGAGAAGAGAAGGAATCACTAGTCAATAGATAGAGGCTCTCATTTTTAGCTCAAAAGCCAACAGTTGATTTCCTGTGTATGAATTGTCTACATTACAAAATCTCCATTCATGGATGGAATGTACCATTTTCTTTTTTTAAAAAATGCTCCTCTTAACAATGAATGACTGTGAATGAATGAAATGCTAGCTCTATCACTTCCTAGCAATGTGATCTTGGCCAGTTTACCTAATTTATTCCAGACTTACTTTCTTCATTTGTAGAGTGGAGATAATACATATCTAATAGTACCTGGCATCTAGTTAGTACACAATAAATATTGAATCTCATTCCCCAGATTACTTATGTAGAATCAAGAATATTGAAAGCAAGAAAAAAGCTGAAGATAACTATTTATTTGTTCTGTGTTTGAAGCCATGTGAAGATGTTTTGCATTATCTCTGATGCTTTTATAATTCATACTGTTTTCCCTCCCATTCTATCATCCAAATTGGCCAATATTGCTTTTATGGACCTGTCTTAAGATTTTTATGTGTTGAGTAATTAATTGAAACCAACTGCATTGCCAAAGACGGTAAACTTACCCAGGAATTACATTATTCCCACAGGAAAGCTGTGCTTCTAGACTGTGTGCATCAAGCCAGGAAAGTGACTACCCTCTTGAAAAGACCATGAATAGCAGTCCTGTCAAATCTGAACGGGAAGCACTGCTAGTGGGTAAGGAAGCTAACACACAACGTACAATCCATAGAATCCAGTGGAGGTGGGGTGGGGTTTACCTACGATTAATAAGGCAAGCATTTATGACAGTGCAAGAACCCAGAGTCCTGGAGACAATAGAGTAAGAACTAGTACAGATTTCCATAAAAATTATAATAGCGGCTCCCAACCCTCTTCAAGCTCTTTGTAGCACAGCCATGTCAAATGTGTCAGTATGAGCATTATGCTAAGAGGGGGGTCAGCTGGAGAAGCACTTTGTAGATTTTTTAAATCTCTATGCAAGGATAGCTAAGCCCTCTCATATCCACTCAGGGGTCTAGTGCAGATGCTGCTGGGCAAACAGCTTTGCCAGATGAGCCTCTGGAGCAAGTGTCTGCCTCTCAAGTTTTCCAGGCACAGGCTGGGACATTTTTACTTATGACACTTCTGACTCCAACTGAGAAGGTGTTTTTATACTTCCTGACAGCAAATATGTGATACCTCATCCAACAGTACTTATCCAACCCTCCAACACCAACTGGGTGTCCTCTAATTCAATTCAGTTCAACTCTATTCAATTATGACACCAACTAGCTAAAGTTACCACCAATTTAAGGACTCAGTCCCACAAATCAGCCCTGACTTTAGATACCAGTCTCCAATACTGGGTCCCTGAAAGTGTTCGATTTTCTTAACTGTTACAAATGCCTGAGACAACCAACTTAAAAAGAAGAAGTGTTTATTTTGGTTTACTGTTTTGGAAATTTCAGATTAGTTGGCTTCATTGATTTTGAACCTGATATGAGGCTGTACGTCATGGCAACAGTATGTGGCAAACTCTTCACCTCATGGGCAGGATATGAAAAAGAGAGAAAGTAAGGGGCTGGGGTACCAATATTCCCTTCAAGGACATGCCCCAGTAACTGGAAGACCTCCCACCAGGCCCCACCTCTTCAAATTTCTACTACCTGCCAGTAGTGCCATGGGCTGGGAACTAAGCTCATAACAGAGGCCTTTGGGGGACACTCCAGATCCAAATCAGCACTGTTATCCACATTTCTATCTGATCTGGCTACAAAGTCTGTTCCCTGGGGCAGGAAGACAACTCACTGAACTTAGGAAAGTGCTTTACTTACTATTACCAGTTTATCATAAAGGATGCAACTCAGGAGCAGCCAAACCTAAGAGATACATATGGCAAGGTACTAGGAGAGAGTATATGGAACTCCTGTACCTTTTCTAGGCATTCCACCCTCCCAGCATCTTGTGGTAACTAACTGGGAAGCTTTCTGAACTCCATATTGAGGTGTCTATGGTGGATTCATTGTGTAGGCATGATGGGGGGCCTGGTGGGAGGGGAGGTCCTGAAAGTTCCAACCCTCTAATCATACTTTGGTCTTACTGGCAACCAACCTGACTTTGAAGCTATTCAAAGGACCCCAGCCACCTGTCATTCATTAGCATACAAAAAGACACTCTGTTTCTCCAGAAATTCCAAAAAGTGCTGGGGATGTGACTCAGTGGTTAAGTGCCTCTGGGTTTAATGCCTGGTACCAAAAAAAAAAAAAAAAGAAGAAGAAGAAGAAGTAAGTTGTGATTATTAAATATGATAATTAGCCTGAGTCACTTAGCACAGGACTTGGCCCATAGTAAGCCCTCAGTAAATGGAAACCATTTTACACTTACAGTATATTCACAAATGCTCACTTACTTTTCATTTGGAGAACAGTATCATATTGAGGTTCTAAAATATTCAATCATTTAAGAAGGGATAGTTAATCCCAGCTGTCCTCTAAGAAGCTGGGTCAAACAGTAGCCCCACCCCAGTCTCGAAAAATCTTCCACACTGATTGGCATCTTCATATTTTTAAGATATATCTACCTCCTTTGGTAATGGATATTATACTCAGACTCAGCACTTTGAGATATTAATAAAGATGCATAGGGGGATCTGGTGTTGAATCTTCAAAAAAGTGACAACTTTTAATATTTTCCAACTCAAAATTTTTAACACATTGGCATGGAAACAGGGAGACTCCAGAGAAGTGCTGGGGTAGAAGGAAGCCTAGAAAAACTATTCTTAAAAGTAAGTGTTTCTTGTTCTTTTTTTCTTCCAAGAACATAGTCTTGGGCTGACAGAGAGAAAGAGGAATCTATTTTTTAAATTATTTCATGGGATATGGACTCACAAAAATTGCTTAGTGTTTTTAAACCTATAGAATTATTTCTTGACATTTGAGAGTTTTTCCTGGCCATGACATCTAGACTTTCCTGGAACATGAACTGTCTTCTTCAAAATTTAAGTTTCTCAGCTAAATCAGTGTTTGGGAATTCAATTCACCTAGTCATTTAAGAATAAAGTAATGTTAGTTAGTATTATCATCTGTTTTGAACAAATTTTGAGCCCCACCATCAGTTTTTCCCAGAGTCCCACAGCCCACCCCTTTGTCATCCAATATTTGGGCAGTTTTCACAAAGAACTGACTGAACTTTAAGCTACAGTTTAAACTGGTGCTATTCCTTATCAGTCTCTTAAAAGAACATGAAAATTGTAGTTTATAAACCAAATCAAATTTCACTTTTATTTCCTGGCAATTTGTAGCAAACCCAATTTTAGGTCTTGTTTATGTGCCAAAGATTTTATGAAAGGAGGCGAATTCAAAATAATTTAAGGAAGAAATAGTATGGTTTTGAACTTTTTTTCCCCACTTTTTGCCAGATAGAGATTAGAATGATTAATCTGAAAGCCAGAACAATCAAGGCACTTGACAGCTGCCAGTCACTCCAGAGTTAGAGTAGAAATCACTTGCATTCCTTTAAACTGCTATAAGAATTTTGCTGCATGGCCAGGTGCAGTGGCACAGGCCTGTAATCCCAGCAACTCAGGAGGCTGAGGCAGGAGGATCACAAGTTCAAAGCCAGCCCCAGCAGCTTAGCAAGGCCCTAAGCAACTTAGCATGATCCTGTCTAAAAATAAAAAATAAAAGAATTCTGCTGCATGAAGAGATATGGAGCTCTGTGCAGAAAATGCTCATGACCACTTAAGTCATCCACAAAGGAAATGTTTGGATTTACAGAGCTACTTGCAAAATAAAACCCAGATACAATCAGCAGATTCTCTTGTAAGAAGCACTAGGTTAATCAGGCAAAATAGATGATGTGTATGATTGCCACAATAGCAAGACATTACTTACACCTAAGAGGCCAAAGTCTAATTTAAAGACCATGTAAAGGAACTGCAAAAACATAGCACAATCTATCTAAATCTTTGTAAAATTCTAGAATTCAAATAGTCCTTAGCCATCACAAATGATGGAAGTGATTCTTCATATGCTAGATTTTCTACATGTGATTCAGTATAGTAACAGGCAGTGTGTGTAGTAATTAAGAAAGACTGTCTGAATTCAAATGCCAGCTCTGTCACTTAACAGCCATGTGATCTTGAGCAAGTTGCGTAAACTTTCTGTGGCCTCAATGTCCTCATCTGTGAAATGGGGGTGGCATCACCTACCTCATGGGGTTATTATAAAGATTAAATGAGGCTGGGTAGAGTGGCACACACCTGTAATCCCAGTGACTCAGGAGGCTGAGGTAGGAGGATTGCAAGTTCAAAGCCAGCCTCAGCAACTTAGTGAAGCCCTAAGCAATTTAGCAAGACCCTGTCTCAAAATAAAAATAAAAAGGACTGGGGATGTACTCAGGGCTTTGATACTCCTGGGTTCAATCTCTGGTACCAAATATATATATATATATATATATATATATATTAAATGAGTGAAATATATGTAAATTTAGGATTAGAGCTCAGCATACTGATGTTGTATATATGTACATGTTATTGTGTATAAGAGTTTTCTGTCACATGGAATCTTAAGGAATACTGTGCTCAGGTGTAACCTCTGGGGTATTGTCTCTATAGGGATTATCTCCACATTTCTTCATGTTCACCCATTTGGAGCAAGCATTGAATACATCTGTTCCTACTTGCATCGTCTTGATAATAAGGTATGTGGGGGCCTGAAAGGGAGGTGCCAGGGGATGTAGGGTTCTCTGTGAACAGGTGACCTTACTTTCCTCAAGCATAAATAGCCATTACTTACTGCTCTAAACTTTTTCAACACTTTCTGTCTCACAGTAATTCAGTATAGAGCTTCCTCCTTAGAGCAGAATGACCATCTATCTGTCCCAGTTTGCCTAGGACTAAAGTGGGTTGTTCCTGGGACTTGAGACTTTTCAGTTCTAAATCCACAGAAGTCTCAAGCAGACTTGAATGAGTTTGGTATACTACTTCCAAGATACATCTTAGAAGAATTTTTCTTCCTTCTCTTAATTTACATATAAGCTGCAAATTAATCAGAAAATTAGCCATTATTAGCTTTCTTACCCATCCAACTTTTGTTCCATTCCTTTGGCCTTTAGCAAATGTTAACTTTCAAATTTGGAAGTCTTATTCCAATTCCCCCTCCACCATCACCACTGTCCTTACCTACTGTGAAACAATCAAGGCAGGGACCAAAAGAAAAAAAAGATGGAACCATGAGCTGAATATCTGTTCACATCAGGTCTTAGGGGCCATTTCCTTCCCTTGATGATATCCTTCTGAGGAGCTCACAGAGCTTCTGGAGCAAGAGGAAAAGCTAATTTTCTAGGAAGTCGGGGATACCCCTTAGAGGCAAGAGGGGATTCTTAACTACTAAAACTAAAAAAGCTATTGATACATTTTTTTTCAGAAGCAGCGTTCAGTTAAACCTGCTCCTGGATTTTACTCACTATTTCATAGGATCCAGGCCTCCTGGGAAGTGACATTTGAATGCAGATTCCTGACACTCTGATGTCCAAAATGTCAAGCCATTTAAGCATATGTCCTCTTAAGAAAGACATGGACCCATTTGGGAATCTTATTGTTCTAACCATATTGTAACTGTGGTGATATATATTCCATGATGGCATTTGTTTTAGTTTTAGCTAGCACTCTCCTCTCATTTCCCTCTTGATGCTATTCTACAATTAAATAGTCCATTGGGTAGTGAAGGGGAGCATGGGATGGGATTACCAAAGCCATGTAGTCAGTTGTAATGATAGGAAATAGAACTGCATATCAGTAAAATAATTATCTGGTTATTTTTTTAACTCACAAAATAATACATAACATTTTCTTAAAAGGAGAAGCAGAATAGCAGTAGAGCAGAGGGAAAGTTACCTACAATCCCACCCCTCAAAGATTAATAGATTGTTTTGTTTTGTTTTGCCATGCTAGGGAACAAACCCAAATCTTTGTACATGTTAGGCAGGTGTTGTACCACTGAGCTAACCCCAGCCCTTCAAGGGTTAATAGTCTGGCATATATTTCTGACCCTTTTCCATTTTAAATGCTATACCTATATGACATGTATCTATCAATAAATATTATCTATTTATGTTTCTCAAAATGGGATTCTACTCTGTATGATACCCTGCAATGTTCTTCTTTCACTTAACTAGATCCAATCTACTCCTGGCACTGGGAAGAAGGCATGACTTACTCCTAGCCCGGACATAGATCCTCATTAGCAGCTTCCTGCCAGTGTAGTGTCAAGGACCTCCCAATGAGAGCCTACAGTGATGACAGGAGAATTGGAGGGTTCCCTCCCTCCAGCTCCAGTTATGGTAGATGCTACAAGTATCTCTTGGTGCTCTTCAGCCAAGCCCTGGTGCCCAGGCTCACAGCTAAGAAGGTGGCTATTAATGCAAAGATGATCACCTAAAACAAGCCTGAAGGAGTCAAAAGTTAGTTTTTGTGTTGATGAGTATGTGTGTGTGTGTGTACACATACACATGTGTGTTAAGTGGGGAGAGAGAAAATATGAAGAGTTAAGAACACAAGGCATTCCCCATTCCTGTTACTTTTCCTTAATGAGCTAATGCATGAGTGAAGAATTCTGCTCTGGTGGCAGCCATTTCTGCTTCCCTTCTCTTCCAAAGACTTGGGCTGCACATAGTGTCACCAGCACAGAGCAGCCATCATTCAGCTGACTACATACCCAAACCTTTCCTCGCAACCTACACCAGCTCTCTTCAATAGCAAGTTCAGTGGACTGTGTCTGGTGGTCACAGCAGAGGAACACTGCTGCCTGAAAGCCTCTCTACCAACATGCACAAATGTACAAGGAGGGAGAGGAAGTTAACCCTCCCACCCCAATATACACATGCACACCCACATTCTAAAGTAGGCCACAGTGGGGGGAAAAACATACTGGGAGCGTGAAATTGGTTTTTATTAGAGAATATCCTCTCTGTCCCACAGATCTGCACCAGTGATGTGGAATGTCTCATGAGTAGACTCCAGCATACCTTCAAGCAGGAAATGACAGGAGTTGGAGCCAGCCTGGAAAAGAGATGGAAATTCTGTGGCTTTGAAGGCTTGAAACTGACCTGAATTTCTGTCAAACAACTTGGGGTCCTGAAAATAAATGTGTGTTGTACAAGCTTAGAAAGTGATTTGTATTTTTGATGGTTTTCAAGTGGAAGTTAATTTAAATTTGTCAGTTCATTCCTGGAATATCTTTTGAGTTAAAATAAGGATCCTAGAAACAGCACCTCGAGCTACAGGCCCTAAAATGAAATTGCCTCAAACCTCAAGTGCTGTAACTTCCTTCCCCTTCTGGCGATTAGTTGTCTTCTCTTATTAATTGTATTGAAAAAGTCCTGAGGCTAAAGAGTATTTGGTGTGTTTTCCGTGTCTGTACTACTATTGTAGACCTTGGCATTTTTTTAAGCACTATTAACTGAAATGTTTTGATGATTTGTATGTAATCTGTGTTTCCAGACTTCTCTTCACATTGATGTTGCTACTGGTAAAAGGAATGAAAAAAGCACTAGATACTCTGTGTAACTGCCATTGTCTTTCCAAGTCCCAGTAGACACATCAGAGTCTTCTAGAGGGTGCCTGACCAGGGTCACCTTTGAAATGACAAAGCATGTTTTGTGGCTTTTTGCAGAATTACTATGAACCAAAAGTTGACAGATGTTCCAAAGTTATTTTCTCTAATAGATAAAAGGTCTTATTTCAGAATTTAAAAATAATTCTAGATGTATTCACAGAAAGCAAGTATCCAGTTTGATTAGCATGTGTTCATGCTATTCACAATCACTTGTAAATAGTCTGCTTTCAAAGGAGGGCATGTTTAGTTTTCTATAAATTGAGACGTGCTCACACGTGGGCATGCGCACACACGCAAGCATTAGCAGAAGGGATTTATTTTAATATTCTTTGCCCTCTGGCCTTCTTGCAGTCTGTTGGTCCCTTTTCTTCTGCTGTCAGTGTGTTGAACTACAAACTGTGTACTGCTGTAAATACTATATTTACTTCATGCTGAACGTTTGTAAAGAGTTGATATGAGTATTAATAGTGATGAACTAATAAATAATGGGCCAGGCTGTATGAGGCTTCCTGCAAATGTGTCAGCTCCACATGGAGTGCTGATTGCCTGGGACATCTCCAGGTCTGTGGTGCTCATCAACAGATTGCAATGGTGGAATGTAGGTGGACCATTCAGGAAGTTTTGTTTGGCAGAAAAGGAAAGCAAAGGAAGGGGCTTGGGGTTAATGTTCTGAGACAGACATGGTCATTTATTTATTTCCTCTTGTGGTGATAGTGATATTGGTGCTTTGGATAACACAAGCATGCCCTCCCTTGAGCTCCACTGAAGGTAAGAGAATGCACTGAATAAGCAAAGCCAATGCCAAGTATTTCACGAAAATCCTTTGTAAATGAGTTGCCAGTAGTGTTCAAAGTTGTATTTTTAAAAGATAAATATTCTGGTTTTTATACATCTTCTGTGTTCTGTTTTGAATGACCTGCTTTCTAAGCGATCCTTTAGTAGATCTCAGTTTCTCCCGTTCAGTTGCCAGGATGTTGGAAAAAGATGCTAAACCTGCTTGACAACTAGAAATAGCATTCCCCCAGCAGCCCATTCATGCTGAAAGTTGGCTTCCAGCTCAAGCACCCCACGGTGGCCCCAGCAGGCAGCTAGGGTTATTTTTATGCTAGTTTCTTCACTGAAGCATCTCTGTCATCAAAGCTGCAGAAGGCTTTGATTCATCAGCTCAGGGCATCTAGAATGACTTATTTTAATGATATCAATGAAATCATAGGAAAATTCCCACTTATCAGTTCTTTCTTATTTAAATAAGTCAAGCAAAATTATTAAACTGTAAGGCAACAGCTGTCATGCCTGAATACCTCACTCTCCTTCACTTATATTGCAAACTGTAGTTTCTGTTACACCTGCCAGTCTAAGCCAGGTGTATTCCTTTCAGCCTGATTCAATGTGCTAATTGGGATGGTTTATTTTCTGCATCAGCTTAGCCATTTGCTCCACTCCACACCAGTGTATGTGGTGGTGTGAAGGTGTTTTTTAGAGATGATGAACATTTAAACCAGTAGATTTTGAGTATATCACCTTTTTAATCAATCAAAGGCCTTAAGAGAAAAGACTGAATCCCCCTCAGGAAAGAATTCTACCTCCAGGCTATCATCAGACTCAAAACTACAACATCAAGTCCTGCCAGAATTCATAGCCTGGTAGACAGCCCTACAAATCTCAAACTTGCAAGCACCCACAATTGCATGAGCCAATTCCTTGTGTGTGTGTGTTATTCATCCCATCAGTTCCGTTTCTCTGGAGAACCCTAATATACTAGAGTTGTTACAATATTTAAGAGTAAAGTGTATTTGCATTATATTGCATAATTGCAGCACGTACCATCACTCATAATCCTTTCCATTCACCATACAGAACTATTAATGAAGTTATTTTTCTTAAAAATTATCAGTGCTATTTATTGTTCTGTTGTTCCTCCATAATTTTTAAATATTGCTCTTTTGTTATTTTTGTGACAGAGTAGTTGAGTTTTTCCAGATAATAATGAATAGAAGCTTTCTTTTATTTTTAAAATGTTTATTTCATCTCTCTTCCTAGTCCCATGATACCTCTAGTTCTGATTTTTTAATATTACCAAGTTGCTTTTTAAATACCTTCAATATGAATGAAAAAAGTTATTTTTCAGAGAAAATTAGACACATAAGTGTATTCAAATTTATATAGAGACTTTAAAAAAAACTCAGTCCCCAAAATGTTTTGTTTTCACATACACAGAATAAATGGTACTATTTGAAAAGACCACATACATGTGCAAGAACTTTTGACTCACTCAATAGAACTTTGTGAGCCCTTGAGATTTTTTAGCTGCCTAGAATGAGCCATCAGATAGACCCAGCTTCATTTATTACCCAAACTGCTACCATCTGCTGAGTACCTAGTATATAGTTATGCTGTCCAAAGTCACCTCCTGTCCATGTGTCTTTGCACAAGCTACTTGGACACAATGGGAGCTTCAATTTCCTTATAGACAAAATTAAGGATAACTAGTGCCTACCTCATAGAGTTGTAGTAAAAATTCAACAAGATGGTGTCTGCAAATTTCCCCTGGTGCATGGTGAGTTCTCAACAAGGAAGCAAAATTATGATTATGATTCAGCCAAAGTTCATGACCTCTACCCACAGTTTTTAAACACCTAGGAGTGTGGGGCTGCATCATGTCACTAGTCCTCAACAAAGGAAATTCAGCTGTTCAAATGTATTCCAAATATTTCCTCTGTCACAGACACTCTGCCAGGCACTAGGGAATACAAAAATAATATGGATGGCCCTTGGCTTCCAGAAGATAGGAGGATAGCCAACCCCAGTGACTAAGGAGGCTGAGGAAGGAAGGTGTGGCACGTTCAAGGACAGCCTCAGCAACTTAACAAGACCCTGCCTGAAAATTTAAATAAAGGACCCAGGCTGTAACTCAGTGATAGAGCACCCTTAGGTTCAATCCCTAATACTGCAAAAAAGGAGGGTAGCTTTTAACACATCCAACCTAAGTCCTTTACCCTTTAACCAAAGTCACAAAAACTCAGTGTAAAAATATTCAGTGTTGCACAGCCATGAATTGAGTGAATAAAGTGGTAATGATGTCTTGTTCTTGAGACCTGAACTATTAATCTCTGTGCCCTAACACTGCCCCCAGAGTTTAAGTCCCATAAGTTCATCGTCCACATTTGTCCTATTCACTGCCACATTCTCAGTCTGGTGCATTGTGGGTGCTCATTAAATGTTGGTAAATGAGTGCTTATATAGCATTCTTAACTCCATATAATAATAGAAGTATTAATACTAAAGTACTAAATAATAAAAAACTATTAATAATAAAACTTAACATGAGTATCAAGTACCACAAACCAGGACATAGATGATAGATGAGTGATGCATAAAGATAGATATTTATTCATTCATTTTTACTGCAATGTGAAAAGTAGTTTAGTGTTAGCCTCTATTTTATCTGGGACTTGGAAGTGTAAAGTAACTTACTTAGGTTTTTAAGAGGCAGGGATGAGATTTGAATCTTGCAATTGCAAGCTCAAAATGTTCTACTGCTCTGGTGATTTATTTAACCTTCATATCAACCTAATTGGTAAACCCCACATTGTTCATTCAGGTGCCATTATAGAATACCTGATAGGTGCAAGTCATGGATCTAGAAATTCAAAGGCAAACAAAATAGCAGGCTGATGGGAAGCCTGCTAAACAACAGTCATGTCCCAGGTGCTATTGGAGGGACACAAATATTAGGAAGCTTGAGAGATGGATAAGAGGAGAAAACAAGCTCAGAAAGGTTAAATTTCTTTCCCAAGGTGCACAGCAAGTATGTGCCAAAGACCAGAAGTTGAATCCAAGTTGGTCTGGCTTTAGTTTGTGTCATTTCTATTATACCATAATGCCCCAGATCACTTTCTAACACTTTCACTTCTCCAAGCCTTTTTTCTTCATGTATATTAAGGAAATCCATGTATATTATGCCCAAAGAGTCATTTATGAGATTTTGTTCAGTGCCCAGTACTATGTCTGGAAAAGTGCTCAATAAATAGTTATAATTTATATTCAAGTAATAGTCATATCAACAATGCATCAATGACTGCAGAGCTCCCTTTACAGTACGGGAAACCCCCATGGGGCCATATATAACATAAAAGAAAAATGAGGGACTGCGGTTGTGGCTCAGTGGTACAGTGCTTACCTCGCACATGTGAGGCCCTAGGTTCAATCCTCAGCATCACATAAAATTAAACAAAGGTTAAAAAAAGAAGAAGAAGAATGAGACCAGTTAGCTCAAAAAACCTTGGGTACCAATGCTCTATCAGAGGTAGATAATGCTGGCCCAAGCCTGACACAGGTAAGAAACTTCCTTCAGCTGTCTTCTTATATAATTTCAGTATCCTTCTAGTTCTTCCCCCTCTCATCACAGGACAGACCACACCCCATTAAGAAGGAGGCCAAAGGGACCTTCCATCTCATATCCCTAGATCCATAACATCTTCTCAGCCTTTCCATTTGAAAATAAACTTTGAAGTATTCAGCTTGCCTACATTTCCTATCTGGAAGGAAG